GTAAAGCGAGAGGAGGTGAATAGGGGTGAAGAAACGTTTAGTGCGGAAGAGGAAGCTAATTTTGCGCGCGGTGCGAGAAAGTAGATAAATATAAGGTGACCACGGAATAGAAGAAAATAAGGAAAGACCCAAAAGGTTGCATGAATCTGTGGAACGGAGTGTTCGATTTGAAAATCAAGGAAGGGGAGAAAGATGGGTGTTTAAGAGAAATGGACATACGGGAAGTTTTACTGGCATGGAACAGAACACGGTTGCTAAAGCCCCAAGCAGAGATAAGGTCCAGATCAGAATTTAGGGAGAAACTAAGGGAGGAGCGATCGTCACTGATGTTGGAGTTAGAGATGCGCGAAGAGGAATGGGACAGAGAAGAGTGCATAGTAGCATCATCGGCAAAGGCGTGAATAGGATTTAAAGTTGAAGAAAGAAGGTCATCAATAAACATCAGAAAAAGGGAATGGGAAAGTGCGGAACCTTGGGGAACACCAGCATTTATAGGCACGGAATGAGACATAGTCCCAACTACTCTGTCGGAGATGCTGCAACCCTTGAGGTAGCTTGCTGTCCAGGACACAAGTTCCGAAGGAAAGCCAAACTTGGGTAGTTTAGACAGGAAACCGGTGTGCCAGACACGATCGAAAGCTTTCCGATATATCCAATGATACTGCATGGGTTTCTCCACGGTTGTCGAAAGTCGCTGACCATGTATGCGAACTGAGCGCCAGAAGATCACCGGTAGATCGATGGGATCGGAAACCGCTAAGCAGTGTTTTTCTCCAGGTAGTGGCGAAGTTGGTCGGCAACAACTGATTCCATAACCTTCGAAATGGCTGGTGTGAGAAAGATGGAGCGATAGTTGTTCGGGTCAGAGTGGTCGCCGCGCTTGGGGATGGGAAATATTTCTGATATTTTCCATGGAGTTGGAAATATCTCGGAATTCGACAGATAGACAGAATAAGCGACGTGGGAGGGGAGCCAGTTCTGGGGCGCACATTTTGAGGGCAATGGGAGGAGTCCCATCGGGTCGGAGTGGCTTATGTGGGTTCAGCGACAAAAGGATATGATGCATCTTTCTGGTGGAAATGAGCGGTGTGAAAAGATGGTTTGCCGTAGGGTGTGTGGAGGGTTGATTCGAGAAGGGTAGAATTTGAAGCAAAACGGGAGGCAAGCACTTCCAACGGGTAGAATTCGAAGTCACCAGATGGTTTACTAATGGGTGGAAAGTTAGTGGAACAGAGGTTACGGGAGACTGCCTTAGCGAGTGACCAGAACGTCCGGTTTCCATAAGGAGCGGTCGCCAATTGTGCTGCTGTGCGCTTAACAAAGTGCTTAGCCTTCTGTATGATGGTTGTACATTTGTAACGTGCCAACAAGAACTATCGGCGGGAGCTGGGGAAGGTGACCGACGCCAGCGGCGGAAGGCTGATTTCTTTTTACGAACAGCGCGACAACAGGCGTGGTTGAACCACTCTGGAGAAATAGGCTTGCCGGGTTTAGCGAAATGAGGAATAAATAGGTGCATGCCTTGCAAAAGAACTTTGGAGAAATTCGAAGCCGAGATGGAGACATCAGCGGAAAAGCAACATTCATTACAGAGGTACGAAGCCAGAAAGTTACGAAAGCTGCACTTATCAGCGGAACCATATCGCCAAAATGTGCGTCTAGAATTGGGAGGAACATTGTAACAAATAAGTTGGGTAGAGAGCGAAATAAGGCAATGGTCCGTTGAGCCTGGGAGAGGAGTTGAAGCAACATTTGAAAAAGATTGAGGGTATGAGCGGCTCACACGTTTCACCACGTGTGAATGCCGTCAAGCCAGCATTCAATGTCAGTTAATCGATCAGTCAATCAATCTGGCCACAGCCACGTATGGCAAGCAAATCAGTCAGTTATTGACCACATCACCTCTTCTTCCACAAATAAGGCAAGGGTTAGTCTTTTCACAGGGAAAAACAACAAATCATAAAATAGTGATGACTCGCATAGGTAAAACACTGTCTTCCGGATCCGAGTAGAAGAATTTTGCATTTTTCCGAACCCTCCGAATTGCGGTCCCGGAATGATTTCTGTTTCCATAGTCAGTTTTGAGTTGAGACGGGTAAGGTTTATGTGGCAGAATTCTGAGAAGCGACTCGTAAACCCGTTTCCCGGTCACTCTCGGTGGGCTCATGTTTTCAATTTTCAAGGGTGAAAAGAATCTAGACTCACTCCTCTCCTTTTTAGTCTGATGAATCCTTCCTGCCTGATGAATTCCGTACGACGTTGAGGCAGGAATATGTGAAACTGGACACGGGCACATTTTGCGGTTTTCCTTCGATTTTGATTCTCCTCTGATTGGTTTGTCAGATTCGAATTTGTTGTGATTTATTTGCTAACCAAAGGTACAACCGAGACTTTTTGAATTTGTTACTGGGAAATCTTATGAAGTTCACTTTTCTGTACAATCGACTGTACGACACGTGTATTAGTGGAGGACAATAAAGGCTCAACGGATGCAATACTTGTTCGGGAGCAGTGGGACTCAACACTCCGTGTATCATCAGTTTTTTGCAGAGGCCTCCGGTGCACTCGGAGAGCATTCGAATTCGGATATGAAACGAGCCATTTGCTCATTCGCAGATTTGCTCCAGTATCTGTCCAATGTAGCGATGACATCCTTCAATGATTTGTCATCCAAATTCATTCGGTCAAAGAGTAGCCTGCCTTTGTTACCGAGGTACAGTTGTAGTAATTTGACGCACAATTCATTTGTAAGTTTCAGTGAAGGATTGGATGCACGCAAAAATGCAACGTAATCTATGAACGTGGTCTTCCATGGATTCCAAGCCACACCGGATGGTTTGAGAACGGGATCATTCCAAAATTGATGG